AAAAAAAAAAAAAAAAAAAAGTAAAAACAACCTAGCACAAACACTTTTTAAAATGAATAATGGTAGCCTAAAACTTAATATTTTTATAAAGTATTATAATACTGTTTTGTGGATAATTGAAATAAAAATTCTCATTGAATGTACCCGTTTATCTTTTTTGCCACTATTCATACTTTCTCATCAGATTTTTTAAATTGGTATTTAATGCAAAGTATATTCTGAATTTGTTCTTCCATTAGAAAAAAAATTGTTCCGTTATATCTCTTGAGCAGAGTTAAATCAGTTCTTTATTAAGTTCAGAACATTATTGAGCTCATTTTATGTGGTTAATTTTCCATGTCAGGCGAGTGACATCATTTTTACAAGTTTTTTTTTTAAAGTTATACCAGCAACTACAGGTAATGTATTGTACAGAGAAACCTAAATGATTTGAGTTAAGCTATTCATAGAGAATCTGTGTTGAAGGATATAAAATAAAATAACCACTTTTGATCATAAAGGGTTTAATTTTCTAAAAATGAAAAATACATGAGCCTATTTCTGTGTGTATTTTAACTTCTATAAGTATAATGAAAATAAAGTTATACTAAATTATGAATGGACAATCAAAAGCATGTTATTTTCAATAAGATATTAGTATTACCTTTTACTATTATTTACTAAAATTATTAGCTTTGTTTTTCCCTAATGGTTTCAGAAGAGTAACATTTAATTAAACATGTAATTTAGTAAACATTTATTAAATATTTTTTACAGTATAGTAATACTGCCTCAATATTTCCCCACTTTGCTAGTTGCCTTTTAATTTTGCATGTAACTTTTTTGACATTTCAGTTGTACATTTGAATGTTGTCAAGTCTCCTTTTTTATGCATAAAAAGTCCTTTGCATTCGAAGATTAAATACTCATGTTAAATTTTACGCTTTTCTCTTTTTACATTTCTCTTTAATTCATTTGGAAGTTATTTGGGTATAAAATGTGACTTAAGGGTCTAGCATGATTTTTCCCCCCACATATAGTTAATTTTTCCAATACCACTTACTGGTTAATTCATTCCCATCCACAGTTTTGGGTTCTTTCCTTTATTTGTGCATCTATCTCCACACATCTATTTTGTCCAATTTGCCATTCTTCCAACAACACAGCACTTTTAATTACTAATCACTTGGGTAATGCATTTTAATAATTAAGAAGCAAGTTGCCTTTGATATTCCTTTTTCTTTAAAAATCTTGTTATTCCCACAGATTCTTGAAGTTTAGACTTTATTTTTCATATTTCCAAAAATATCAAGTGAAATTTTGGTTAGGATTGAATGCATTTTACTTATAAATTAAGTTGGTAAGAATTAACATTTTTCAAATCAGCCTCTCTATCCAATTTATGCAAATCTTCATTTACACCTCCAAGGCTTTTCTCTTTGGAGTTGGAAGATGAGCCTTATCTCTTTTCTGATGATACTGTTATTGGTGGGGTGCCCTTTGTGTCCCCACCTGTTGCTGGTGGAAGTGGAGCTCTTGGGGTGCCAGAGGAATGAGAGTTTCCTCAGGCCCCCACAGGAGGATGAGGTATCATGGAAAGCTTTATTGGTAGGGTAGCATTAAGGGAGTTCCCCTTCAAGGCCCCATCTCCATCTTGCTGTGGAAAAAGTCCCATTTTGTCTTCAGCAGAGCTAGAGTCAAAGCCATTGCCCAGTGTTTCTGCTCCAGGTTAAGGCCCAGTCCAGTCCAGGATCTGGCTAGGTTAGCTTGTGTTACCAGAGGCAGTCCATTGTGTGTGGGGTCCACATGGCCATGGGCCATGTGACTGCTTCTAGGTCCACATGGAGCAAGCGAGAAACAGGAGTGCAAGCAGTTAAGAGAATTCTTTGGGGGATTTTACCCTTCCAAGATTTTGCCTGCTTATGGTGGCTCCTCCTAACTAATTTTCCTTTTTCCCAGGTTAGACTTACAGGCAAGCACCTTCCCTACCTCACCCCGGCTTCACTGTGCATGCGTCCATCTTCCCCTTTGTTGTACCCCTTCCGCCAGTGATTTGCAGGTAATGAATTGGTGGTTCCCTGGGGAATGTGAAGCTTTGCAGCTTCCTCATAAAGCTGCCCAGATGACCATGCTTATGATGACTGGCCTTCCTTTTGCTTTCTTCCTATTACTAATATTAATAGCTAGCTAGTTACTATGGTAACAGCACTGCTCTAAAGATGCCATCTCAGTGCTCCTGGAGACCAAGTCCCCACTTTGTTGCTAAAGAAACCAACATGCCTCTAGAGATGAGGAAGAGTGTGTGCCCCAATAAATAGCACTTATTTCCTTAAAATCAACTCCTCCCCTATCCTTCCTCCAGTTTTTCCTTTGTTTAAATGACACCAAGTTGAGTTTCTGTCACCACAACCAGAGTCCTAATTAGCACTCAAATTGTCAATACCAGAAGGAATACTTCTGATTAAAATAAGCAGCACACACTGTTATCCTTTTGCT